GTCTCTTTGCCTTTGGTTTCTAATGAATCACCCATCAACACCAATGATGGTGTTTATCTCAGAAAGAGGAAAAATATATGAACCAATAGAAACATCTTTCAATATGCAAGTTAGAGAGGCATTAGATTTTGAAATTGTTAGGATGTTCTACTCATCAGGATTGCCTTTTTATTTATCAAGAAATCCTTATTATAGGAGAGCGTTTTCTTTTACTACCAACAATTATATAAGTAGATATCAACCTCTGAACCATAATAATTTAAGAACAAACTTGCTTCAAAATGAAAGAAGACACATAGAAAGGCTATTGAAGCTAATAAAAAATACACGGAGACAAAGAGGTATTAGCATTGTTAGTGATGGATGGAGTGATCCTCAAAGAAGGCCTCTCATTAATTTTATAGTTGTAACAAAGAGTGGACTCATGTTTTTTAAGCTATAGAATGCTCAGATGAGATTAAAGATAAAGATTTTATAGCCAAATAAATGAAAGATGTGATAATGTAGGTTAGACTATCAAATGTTGTGCAAATTGTGACTGATAATGCACCTGTATGTAAGGAAACAGGTTTAATGATTGAGGCTAATTTCCGTTCTATTTATCAGACAAAGTATATTGTACATACTCTAAACCTTGTTTTGAAAAATATATGTGCAGCTAAGAATACAAAAAATAAAAATGCTGCTTATCAAGAGTATTCTTAGATCACTACAATAGTGGAAGATATTGTGTTCATAAATTTTTTTATCATGGGTCACACTATGAGGTGGTCCATTTTCAACTCATTGAAATTGCTTTCCGTTGCTCTAACAATCCTCTACTATAGTAATGCTTAAGAGATTTAAGCAATTGAAGAAAGAACTCCAAGAGATAGTTATTAATGATGAATGGTCTTCTTACAAGGAAGATAATGTTGGAAAAATTAAATTTGTGAAAGATACATTAATGATGAATGGTCTTCTTACAAGGAAGATAATGTTGAAAAAACTAAATTTGTGAAAGATACATTATTGAATGATGTTTGGTGGGACAAGGATGATTATATACCATCTTTCACTAGTTGCATCTATAATATTCTTAGAAAAACGAATACGGAAGTTTCATCTCTCCATTTAGTATATGAAATGTGGGACTCAATGATTGAAAAGGTAAGAAAATCATATATCGATATGAAAGAAAGGGGAAGAATCAAGCATTTATAATGTGCACTCGATATTAATTGAACATTGGACAAAGAGTATAATACCTCTCCATTGTTTAGCTCATTCTTTAAACTTAACATAATAAATTATATTCCTAAATAATATTTTCAATGCTTAAAATTTTTAGTTATATTTTTATAGGTTATTATAACCATGAATGACTAAGTGCAGATTCTAATAGAGTTCCTTCACATCAAGATATAAAAATTACTCATGAAAGGATGAAATGTTTCAAAAGATACTTTGTTGATATGGATGTGAGGAGACAAGTGAATGTAGACTTTGTAAACTTTTCAAATGGAAGATAAAGTTTTGATGACATTGATTCTTTAAGTGATAAGGGTAAGATGAATGCAAAATCTTGATGGCTTGTTCATGGTGCTCATGCTCTAATACTGCAAAAGGTTGCCAATAAGCTACCCAGACAACCATGTTCTTTTTCATGTTGTGAAAGAAATTCGAGCACTTACTCTTTTATTTATTCTATGAAGAGAAACAAGATGACACCGTATAAGGTAGAAGATCTAGTATTTGTTCATAGCAACCTCTGTCTTCTTTCAAGAAATTCTCCACAATATGACCAAGAGGAAACAAAAATATAGGATATAGTAGAAGATGCATTTGAATCACTAGATGAGAATGGATTGCTTGAAGTTGCTAATTTGTCACTTGATGAGCCGGAGCTTAAGGCTTTATTTTTCAATGATGATAATTAAGGAAGTCACAACCCGTGAGAGATTTAATTCACCTTATTATTTTGGGACTTTTTTTTTTTTTTGTAAAGAGACAAAGTTTTTGCATAATGAGATAATGCTGCTTAGTATTTTTTTGTTAGGGTATCATATGAAAATTGTAAAGTCTAACAACTTTATCTTGAGAAGATGAATGAATAAATCTTAATTTTTAATTTAAATTTTTCATGTTAATTATATTTAATTTTTTATATATTTATATATAAGTGGTGTCCCAGTGTCTTATATTCTAGACATTAGCCATGTGTCGGTAGTCGTGTTGTATCTGGTGTCTATGTCGGAGTCGATACTTCATAGGTTCTAGCAGAGCCTTGATATTTTTCTTTATCAACATCTTTAGAAGTTTATTTGCAAAGAATTATTTCTAAGATAGAGATTGATGGCCTAAAATAAGTAATTTTTTGCCTTTAAATCTTTCAACTATAGCCCCTTCAACTATTTTTGTTGTGCTTTTATGAGTGTTGCATTAGGCATTTTGACACCATTTTCAACATGTCAATACTCTTTGGATCTCAAGAAATTCTCCATTAGATTACTTCAAAGGTCATAGTGACCATTAAAATGTGGAATAACAGGCCGCAGAAAGTATCCTTCAGATGACATCTCTTTTGCTTGTTATTATGTAAAAAAGACTGTTGCTACTTTATTTTTTTTTCTCTCTGGGCTCCAATTTGGCTCTTGATACTATAGTTAGCATAAAATAGAAATGAAGTTGATAACGTAAAAAAAGTAATGAAGATAAGAATATGAGAAATATATATCTATATCTTGTTGAAACAAATTTTGCATAATCTAAAAACTAAAATCAAGGATATTTTGGATAATCTTAAAACTGAAATTAAACTCCTAAAATAATTAAAACAAATAACAACTAAACAATGTGGAGTAAAATTCTTCCTAAGACCTAGTCAATGAAAAGATAAATATTATTTTCTTTACAGATAAATGACAAATCGGTAAATTATTGTTTCTTTTCCTTCATTTCTTTTCTCCTAACCTCTCTGTAACATTTTCTCTTTCATCTTTCTCCTCTCTTCCCAACCAATTTGTTGTCAAAACAAGCAAAGTTAAATAATTATTATTTGAATATCCGTAATTTGACTCACTCTAATCAAAACTCTATTTGGGTTGAGTAAAATTGAGATTTGCTAATGTTATCAAGGACAATTTGGAGTTTTGTAGTGAGTAATTGACTTATACTATATCATAGGTGAGTTAGGCATGACTAAAGACAGATGTAAAATACACTATTTTTTATATCTGTTTTTCTGATTACTATTTTCTACATTAGTTTTTTGGAGAATCGAAATAAAAAGTAATGAAAAAATTTGAATTTTATTGTCTTTAATGTCTAAACTTTGAATGAACATAATTTTTAGCATATAACTTTGAAGATGAGTTTTTCGGGATTTGGACAATTTTTCTTTCAAAATTTTAACATTGTTTAATTTTTTACTATTTTTTATATATTTTTTTAGAAATTTTTTTACTATTTATAAATACTCGATGATTTAAATTATAATTTATACCCAGAGAATAAAATAAAAATTAATGTTGCATAGTCACAAATAAAGAATAAAAGAGAAAAATAAAATAAAAAAATATATTAAATTACTAATATATCTTTTAATAAATTTAACTTGTATCGTAAATTTTATTTATTACATTTTTAATTTTCTTATGTTAATTAACGGTTTATCATGGTTGCAGACGACATAAGAATTCACCTATTTATTCTTCGTATCTTCTGCAGCAACTGGGCATTAAGTCGTTGGATATTGTTTTGCTATGGGTTCTTATCCTGATTTTCCTTCTTAAAGACTTGAAAGCACTGGGATTTAAAGATGACTCTAATGAAATGACGGTTGAGGAAGCGTGCACACTTGTGCACACCAAAGCACCTGCTAGCTAGTGGTGGCGAGTTTAGCTCACTTTTGCATGGCATCTATCTTTTGAAAACCTTGTGCTATCCTCCCTCATTCTTTGACACCTTATTCTTTAAATTGCTTGGATTCGAAGCCAACTTGGTGAATCAGTTGATCAGCTAATACCTTTTCTCCATTTTCTATACAAATATAATCAGAATTAGAATATCCGTTTGAAACACTGTATCACCGAAAGATACTAATCAATTTGACACCCCTTGGCATCGATAAATCACAAGTAGAAATTAAGAACAAAAAAAATAGTATAAAGTGAATATAACAATTTAAGTATAAAAATATTATGTTATTGAATATTGGCAAAGGATGGTTGGTGAGTTTTAACCTTTGGATAAGTAAATCCGACAATAAAAACGAGTATTAGTGAAAGAGCAAGTGAGTTGCAGTTTAAAAATAAATAGTAATATATAATCATGGAGACTAATAAAATAGAAAATGAAATTGTAATTTGAAATAAACAGTATTAAAATAAAAAATAATAAAAGTAAGACGATAGACGAATTTATATTATCTTGTATGAATAGGAAAAATATTCATATAAAAATATAAAATCAAATCAAATTACAAAAATGATTTATAATGCTATCTAAGTAAAAACTGTAAATCAAAACGAATATATTAGATACTGTTTATCTAAAATAATGATTTATTAGGAAGAGGGATTGATTAGTTTTTATTTCTTGTTATTAACAAAGAAGTATAGCTTTAAATGCTTTTATAGAAGAAAAAAAAACTGTCATCATAAAAAAGAAGATTTTTTTTTAATCTTTGTTTACTTATAAGCGAATAAAATTTTTATTAAAAGGTGAAATAAGTTGCATAAAGTAGGACGATAAAAGTAACAAATTTATAATATAATATTATATTCTGTTAGTTAATTTTTTAAAGATGTTTTATTATATCTCTTAAAAGTTAAATTATCATTTATATAATTTTATTTTAAATATAAAACAAGATTAATACTTGATAAATTAAGTTGTGTATATCATTGTGGTTGGTGGCGTAATATTTATCTCTTTAGAATTAGATAAGAATAAAAAAAAGATTTATGTTAATAAAAGAAGAAGCTAACATGCACCGTTTAATAACAGACATTATGGTCCGATGTGGTATATAAGTGTCCACCGCGCCTGATGCTGTGGTTTTGCTGAGAGAGAACGCAAAGCAAAACAAAGCTTTGGGTGAAAACAAAGGTTGCAAGCAAACTGCAACACACAATGGCGGCTACTGTATCTGCTTGGTCCAAGCCCGGCGCGTGGGCCCTAGACTCCGAAGAACATGAAGAAGAACTCCTTCAACAGAACCACAAAGACGACGAACCTAAACCACTCGTCGACTTCCCTTCCCTCGCCGTCGCCGCCGCCACCAAGCCCAAGAAGAAGAAGGCCCAAACCTACTCTCTCGCCGAGTTCACCGCCAAACCCGACCCAGCCTTCACCAACCAAGAAGATCTCTTGAATCTCCCCACCGGTCCCCGCCAGCGCTCCGCCGAGGAACTCGACCGCGACAGGAACCATCTCGGCGGAGGCTTCCGCTCCTACGGCGACCGCCCCCGCAGGAATTCTGGCGGCGATGAATCGTCCAATTCGAGGTGGGGTTCGTCTAGGGTTTCTGATGAGCCCCGCAGAAACGGCGCGTTTGGGGCTAGGGATTCGAATCGCGAGTTGCCGCCGTCGCGCGCTGATGAAATCGATAATTGGGCTGCTGCGAAGAAATCACCGAGCGGTGGGAACGGGTTCGAGAGGAAGGAGAGGGAAAGAGGGGGTTTCTTCGATTCACAGTCGCGTGCTGACGAATCTGAGAGTTGGGTTTCGAATAAGAGTTTTGTGCCGTCGGATGGACGAAGATTCGGTTCCAACGGTGGCGGTGGGTTTGAGAGAGAGAGAAAGGTTGGGTTTGGTTCCAGCGGTGGAGCAGATTCGGATAATTGGAACAAGAAGAAGGGTGAGTTCAGCGTTGGGAGTGAAAGAAGCGAGAGTGGTAGTGGGGGAAGGCCAAAGCTTGTTCTGCAACCTCGGAAAGTGTCGGCGAGTAATGAGAACCAGGAAGGTGGTTCTGGGAATGTGACAAAGCCTAAGGGTCTGAATCCGTTTGGTGAAGCAAGGCCAAGGGAACAGGTTTTGGCAGAGAAAGGGCAAGATTGGAAGAAGTTTGATGAGCAGCTTGAGAGCATGAAGATTAAGGAGACTAATGTGGATGGGTTTGGGAAGAGGGCTTTTGGTTCTGGCAATTCAAGCAATGCAGGACGTGGTGCTAGTTTTCCTGATGATCGCACTGAGAGGAGTTGGAGGAGGCCACAATCTGATGATGATCGTCCAAAAAGGTTTGTCAGCAATAAGAATACCAATCCAGATGGTAGTAGTTCCCTCTATTTTTCTCTCCTTGATTGGTTTTCTTAGTTGTGTTTTGGTGCTTCGTTTATGCTAGTATTGGTTGGTTCTTTCTTTAGGCTTCTACTTTCGATACTGATTGATTACGCTGTTCAATCTGCCCCTGGTTGATACCAGAGTGGGAAGTAAATGAAGTATACTCAGAACTGTTAATTCACCATGCTGTTTTGATGTTAATTTGCAGTTTCCTACCTGTTGGTTCAGTCTCAAAAATTATGTTTTCACAAGTTTGTGTATATGCTTACCTTATATAATACTAAATAAGATGCTTATTGTTATAACCTTCACGTATCTGATGTCATATACTTTTTGTCAGAGGTATCTTCAACTAATTTAGCTTACTGATTTTTGAGGTTATTTTTAACAGTTCTGACTCACTACTCCTGTGTGTGTTGTTGTAACACTAGCTTATTTTTGTGCTACATTTGATCTTGCATCCTGCCATGGTACCGCTAGGTTTTAACTTTGAACACTTTTTTGTTACTGATCTCTTTGTATTCGTCGATGTGATTTTTAAGCACGTAGTGTTACTGTCTTTCCTGGAGGACAAGAATGTTGCTAGGTTTTGAATCACTTTGCCAGCCTAATACTTGAATATCACATGCTCCCAACGCCCCACATACAAGATTGTTTTCACTCTCTCTATTTGTGTTCATTATTGATAGACTGACCACTCGTTTACCTTGTCATTTTAGCCTTTTTCTTATATATAAAAGAAAAGAACTGATAAATATGTGAGTGGTGGACCCTATCGGTTTAAGAGAGTTTGAAATGCCAAGATAAATCAATACTTAACGGTGGCGTTTGTGTTTGTGACTTGGATTACTCTGCTGCCTATTTAGGCCTATTTGTAACGCTGATGAGCTGTTTACTTTTTTAATGCAGTGCTGAGAAAGTGGAGGATGAACACGTTGAAGAAAACTGAAGAGCTATCAATTACTTTTGTCGCTGCAGATTGATTGATAAGAGACTTGGAAAGGAACATTGAATATCAAAAACTTAATTTTTGTTTCCCATTGAAGTTTTGTCTTTACTTATATTTTCCTATGTTTTTATTGTGAAAGACTACACTGAAACTGCTTAGAGGCATTTTTGTTAGGCATGCTAGTAGCTTAGGCAGTCTCTGTTTTTATGACAATGTTTGTTGCTAAATGTTACCGTAATTTTGGCCTTATTTTTACATCCCTTCATAATCTGTATAAGCTGGGTGATGAACTGCTGATTTTGGAATTCATATTTTTTTTGGGCCCCGCTTCATTTACAGAATGATATTCACGTCTAACTAGTGATATTTGTACGCAGATTAGATAGGTCAGATATTCAGATTCCCTCCCCATTGTTGAGAAATTAGAGAAAAACAAAGGATTTCACTGGCGCTATAGATATGACCTCTAAATAATATATGCTAAACAGGTTAATAAGCAGTCAGAAATGGTAACCAAGTCGAATTTGATGGCTCATATGCTGGAAAAAAATATAGTTTCCTCTCCAGTCAGAGACCAAAATGTACTTCTTCCACTGTCTTTTGTATTCTTCACTTCTATCTCCTCTCTTTCCATAGCTTTTCCAAACCAAACGAAGTTTCCTCCCCAGTCACAAATCAGAGGTGTAAATGTTCTCACGACTGGATTTTTATTCTTTCTCCTCCAAGTTTGATTTTCCAAATGTCTCGTGGCTAGAAGTTATTAATAAATGTCAATAGTTCAGCAGACAGTAATGAATAGCTAGAGCGCTATATTACCTTAAAATTCGTCATGTCAACTTTTGTGGATGGCACGATCTTCTGCCTACGTTGGAGGAATTTTATTTTATTTTATTCTGTGGATGCCACGATTTTTATCGAGCACTTTAGTTCTTAGAATTATGTAACATAATGTTTGATATGTTATAATATGTGATAGGTGTAGATATAGCTAAAAAAGTGCTTTACATGGGGATTAATTATTCGCTAATTATATATATTTCTTTTTCTTTGTTAGAAACTATCATTATTAAAAATTGCTAACAGTATTCATCATCTCAGTGTTAACTTTTTCTTCCTCAAGCCAACTCAATGCTAAAAAATTCTTTTGCAACTAAGGAAGACTTTATCTTTTATGTCTTCTTTTACCATTTCCATCTCTCTAACCTTAATTCCCTTGTCAACAAAACGCTCTCTTTTATCGTTTTTTGTTGTTGTCTTTGATCCCTACACTTACTGTCGTTGAAAGGTTTTAGTTTGTTGGCGCTGCTCGACTCGTTGCAAATCACCACAATAGTGTGAATTCTCAACCATAATTATGTGACTACTCAGAGTATAAATGTGAATTTGATGGTGAAGGTAGAGAAGCTTGAGAAGATTTAAGATAGAGAGAAAAATTTTACAAAAGGATAAAGGGGTTTTCGACAATGGTATAATGTTAAAAAATAATAAAGAAAAAGAATGTGTGGATGAAAAATTTTAATAATTTGGGAGATTAAAATAAAAAATATATAATACAATATATACAATATTATTTTTATCATATAATTAATTATATATGTCATTTAACGTAATATCTCGACATTTTATTATTATATCTTAATAATTTATGACTTTAAAAATTAAATTGATTGGTGAAAAAAAAGTATTAAAGACTATTAAATGCATTTTAAAATCTTAAAAATTAAAATGTCTCACATTTATTTGTTAAGTGCATTTGTGTCTTAATTTTTTAGCCTAGTAGCTTTTGACTTAACCATTTCATCCTTGAAGTTTGGTGGGTTTGTGCCTGTAGTTAAGCAATTGAAATCATAGCTAATAATAATGATAATCCCTTGTGCGTGTCCAAATTTGTTTCTAACAAGAATTTAACTTCTTTGTGGCTTAAAGTAGTGGACACAACAATTGTCAGCTAACTTTTCGAAGTTATGTTCCTTCTGTGTAAAAAATAATGGGGAGCAGCCTCTCACTATGGTTCATAAAGAAAATGATTCAATTAGACTCACCTCAGAGGGTGACCTTAAATTAATACACTAGCTTTAGTGGTCAATTTGGAAAACCAGAAAAAGAAAAAGAACTCTACAAAAGGCATTTCAAATGATATCAATGTGCATGCTTGACAAGAAGAGGGTCGAAGGGCTCTTTGAATCGCAGCTGATTGAGATTGTGTATGCCTTTGAGCAAGCGACTAGAATCAAGAAGCCCCTTTTCCAACCTTCGATCTTTTAAGAAAAGTCTCCTATTCAAATGTTATTATGGTTTTGTTTTGTTTATTTTATCAATTCTGAATGATTATATGTTGCAATTTATGTAAACTAACGTGCATCATGTTTCCCTTTTTAGTAACAAATGATACATTATGTTCTTCTAAACTTTAAAGTGAGGTGTTACAATTGTCGATGATAGAATCAAAGGATAGATTTTGCAATCCTTGTTACGTTTTTTTCTTTATCAGCCATATTATAAAAAACAAACGAGCACAATAATATCCTGGCACATATGCACAGTTCAGTTTGACATTGCAAAACTTTTACAATAAAGAGGTTCCTTTACCAACGCAAAGAAAGAAGAGAAAGTGCCCTTATTTTTATATTATTTATTTATTTTATTATAATTCTAATAATTGATTTTTTTTTTCATCAGTATTTATAATTCATTACACATTTTGTTTTCTTTAGTGTAAGAGAAATGAAATTCACCAATGGCAGTGCCAATTTTGAATATGCGGCGGGTATCAATAGATTTATCATACCAATTATTATATTTTTTATTCTCTTTCTTTTTTTTCCTACTATTTCTTTTAATCTATTTTCTTAATTTTATTTTGGGGAGGCGTGTTGTGACCCCACTTTTTTTCTTGTGACTAGACACTGCTGTGTCATAGATGAGACTAAAATATTATTTCATGTTATTGGATATATATATATATATATATATATATATATATATATATATATATATATATATATATGAAAAATATTTTAAAAAATTTACACTTAATATTAGCTTTTTATTTAACTTATATCTACTAATTAGTAAAGTAATAAATTATAACCATTTATATGTAAGTTAAATAAAAAGTTCAAATTAAATATAAAATTTTTTATATTTATATTAGTGTGAGAAAATCATGCCTCATATATATAATGTATAAAAAAAAGATGTTCAATTAAAAATTTAAAGTATATAAATAATGTAACATATATTTACATGATATTAAAATAAAATTGAGTAAAAATATATTTTTTGTATAAAAATATAATATAATTTAATATAAATTTATTTCAAATGTAGTTTGATTTAATTTTAATAATAAGAATTGAAAAACTAAACTAAATAGTAATATAAAATATAATTTTTAATTTTTTTATTTGATTAGTTTTCAGTTTAATTAATTTTTAATATTTTTTAAACTTATTTAAGGGTTTGGAAACATTTAGTTATGTTTTAAACACCCTAGATATGAGTTGCAAGAACTAAGAACGATAAAGGTGAAAATGAATTTGAGTTGGTTAATTGATGAAATATTGTTAATTTTATTTGTAATATTTGACAATAATATGAATTAAATTTTATTGATGGTTACTCATGTTTGGATGAAATAAAACATGAGTAGAAAAAAAATAAAATTTGTAATATTGTTCAAATCAGTTTTTTAAATTTAAAATTTTAAACATTATCTTTTGAGATTAAAAATTATGAATCAATTTGGTTCTTATCATAAAAGAATATTACACTCAAGTGACTGAATTATAATTTGTCACATTAAATAACACATTGATATTTATTTTAGATACAAAATGACGTCGTTTTATGACTCTAAAATATAGTTTATTTTCATCCTAAACTTTTAAGATTTAACATTTTTTTCTTTTTCTAATGATTATCCTTTCTTGTGTTTTACCTTTTTCATTGTCTTTCTCTTTTTAATGAAAATTAGATAGTTTTGTTTACAGGATTTAAAGAATTTAGCATTGAAGAATTTACAATTCAAATTTTTAGATGAGAATATTACTTCAATTTTGTAAACCTCATTTATGTAGTGAGAAACATGACCAAATCAAAAAAGTTTTGACGCTAAAGCCAAATGTTGGTGTTTGAAGAATTTAATGATGATGTTAGAGTTGCAGTTAAATTTAGATTAGAGGCCTTGCTAGTTATGGAGACCAAGGAACTAGGGGCACGAGTAGTGTGAAGATAATTGTGACAGTCCTTAAAGACAATGAGGATAAAAGAGGGCGTTGCTTAAAGACAATGAGAATAAAAGAGGGTGTTGACTTATAGATGCAACTTGTTGGTGTGTGACCATTGCGAAAAAGTCATGAAAACTATTGTTGTACACATGAATAATGTGGGTTTGCTTGTTGAACTTATAAGTATACTAGTCATAGTGAGTGGGAAAAGTGAAAGTATTATGAGAGTCCAATACACACATTTTTACAATGGAAAAACTATTTATATAACAATATTACAAACAAAAAAAGCTAATAACAGAATGACAAAATATAATAGAAAGGTAACATAAGAGCTCCCTTCAAGTTGGATTATGTATGTCTACAAGTCTCAACTTGGTTACAATCTTGTCAAAAGAAGTGGGTCTTAGTAAAGAAGTCAACCAATTGAGCAAAAGAAGGAATAGGCAGTAATCGAATGAGACAACATTGCAATTGTTCTTAAACTACATGGCAATCAATTTTGATATGCTTAGTTCTCTCATGAAAAGAGTGATTTTGTGCAATGTAAATAGACTCGTTATCATAGTAGACAAAATATGACAATTGCATTTTGATTTGGAGATCATTGAATAAGAAATGTAGTCACTGAATCTCACAATAGATAAATGCTAGTGTCTGATACTCTGATACTTTGCCTCACTCAAAGATCTCGAAATGGTAATTTATTTCTTTGACATCCAAGCAATAAGAGAGCTTGCTAGGAAAAGACAAATTACCAATGGTTGATTTTCTATAGTTTGGACAAGATGTCTAATTGGAATCAACAAATAATAATAATAATAATAAAAACCCTTGCCAAGGGACATCTTCAGATATTTTAGGATATGCACAACAGCACTGAATGAGATTCCATAGGCCTTGAAACATGTTGATTAAGCTGCTGAATAGCAAAACATATATCGAACCTTGTATTTGTCAAATATTACAGTCTCAATCAACTGGCAAAATAAAGACAGGTTATAATCATAGGAACCTTGATCATTATACAATTTGCAAGTAGAATCCATAGATGTGTAACACGACTTAGTAGCCAATAAGCCCATGTGAGTAAGTCTAAAGTATACTTCCTCTAATTGATATAA